TTAGCTTAATGTGTTTAGTTTTGAGTTTAGGTTGTGTTCTGTATTGTTTATATATTGTATTGTATTGTATGGTGTTTGTTTGCTTGTTTTTCTTTTATTTGTTTTTTTCTCTGTTTTTTCTTCTGTTTTTTCTCTTTTGCTTTTTTTCTCTCTCTTTTTGTAATCTATAAAAGTAATAAATATTATTTTTTAAAAAAACAAAGTGCCCAGCTGTTGGGTTGTCATGGAGTTGTTTAAGTACCTTCCCTCTCAAGGTCTCCCCTGGTACATACAGTGCCCCCTTATAATACAGTAGCCCTTCCTTTTCCTCAAACCCTCCATGGTCTTACCTTCCGTCCCGGAGTTCCCTGATTTTTGCTTGAGTGAACGCGTCGTCTCTAGTAAGCCCTGTCAGTTCTCGTTTCCCAACCAACGTTCCCCCACACACCCACTGGTCCTTGGGAAACACATGTCGGATCTCTGGTGGTCCCTCTCCCTCCAGGTACTCCGGTTTCCGGAAGAGAGCATCTGCTCTTACGTTTTCCTCTCCCGGCACGTATCTGATCTCGAAGGAAAACTTGGCGAACTCCTGGGCCCATCGAATCTGTCTCTGGTTGAGCACCTGCGTGGTCCGCCAGTATTCCAAGTTCTTGTGGTCAGTACAAACCTGGATTCTGTGCCGCGCCCCTATCAACAGATGTCTCCATTGCCGAAACGCCGCATAGATCGCAAGCAGTTCTCGGTCATACACTGTGTAGTTTTGCTCTGACTTGCTCAGCTTCCTTGAGAAAAAGGCACACGGCCTCCAGTCCTGCTTGGCCCCGGGCTGCAAAAGGACCGCCCCAACAGCTCGGTCGGACGCGTCCGTCTCCAGTCTCATGGGCTTCTCCGGGTCCATGTGCAGGAGCTGCTCTTCCGAAGCGAACGCCTTCTTCAGCTTTTCAAAGGATTGCTGGGCACTTTCTGTCCACGCGAACTTCTTTTTGCTACTGAGACAATCTGTTATGGGCGCTGTCAAGTGAGCGAAGTTCTTTATGAACTTCCTGTAGAAGTTGCTGAACCCTAAGAACCTCTGCACATCCTTCTGGGTTTTGGGGGCTTTCCATTCCAGCACTGCCTTTACCTTGCCTGGGTCCATAGCTAGGCCCTTGTCTGACAGCTTGTACCCCAGAAACTCGACCTCCCTGGCGTGAAATTGGCATTTTTCCAGCTTGACCCACAACTGATGCTCTGTAGCACTTCCCTGACGTCTTTGACGTGTTGCTTCTCATCGTCCGAATAGATTAAGACGTCATCCAAAAAGGCTACGCAATTCTTGTACAGCAGGGGCCCTAACACGTGGTGCATGAATGCTTGAAAGCAGGCGGAGCCCGATTGTAATCCAAATGGCATAACTAAGTACTCGAAGGCCCCCAGGGAGGTGAACATGTTAGTTTTCCATTCGTCCCCCTCCCTTATCCTGATTAAATTGTATGCCCCCCTGAGGTCCAGCTTGGTAAAAATCTTCCCCTGCCTCACCCGTGTTAAAATGTCGTCAATCCTTGGCATTGGGAAGGTCACGGGTTCTGACACCAGGTTCAACCTCCTATAATCCACGATCAATCTAGGCTGATTAGTCCCCTTTTTGTCCACAAAGAACACCGGACTGCCCCCCACCGCCTTGGATTCCCTTATGAACCCCCTCTTCAGGTTCTTGTCAATAAACTGCCACAACTCCTGCATCTCCCGGTCGGACATGGCATACAGCTTACCCACCGGCAACTGAGCCCCTGGGAGTAGGTTGATTTGGCAGTCAAAGGGCCTGTGGGGGGTAGTCTATCTGCCTCCTTCTCGCTGAAGACCTCCTACAGGTCAGCATATTGTGGTGGCACCTCCCCCTTTTGTTCCATAGCCAGCCCAGCCACCCTGGCCACCGTCATTCTTGGGTTCTCCCCTCCCAGACAGTGTCCTAAGCAGTAAGCTGACCCAAAGGTGACTGACCGCTGATGCCATGACACTACGGGATCATGCAGCGCCAACCAGCTCATTCCCAGTATTATTGGGGGTCCTGCCAGTGTGGCCACGTGAAAGGCAATGGTCTCCATGTGCCTGGAAACCCTCATTCGCATTGGCGGGGTCTGGTGTGTCACTTCCCCTCCCAGAAGTTCCCTGCCATCGATGGTTGTCACCTGCAAGGGAAAATGTAGAGGCAACAGGTGGAGTTGGTGCTCTAGAGCGAAGTCTCTGCTGAAGAAATTACATGAGCTGCCCAAATCCAGCAGTCCCTTAATTTTGACAGGGTGCCCATTCGGGAGTTCTAGCACCACTTCTATGGCTATAGCTGCCTTGGGGGGGTCAGGCTGGGGCACTTCTATTGGTTGCTGGCCTGGCTGCTGCCCCTTCTGGTTGGCAGCCAGGCGTTGTCGTTTCCCTGCACCTGCCCTTCCTCCCCCTTCTCGTCGAGGCCTGCAGTCCCCGCCATCCCTTGCCAGGCCTTTCGTTGAGGGCAGACCTTAGCAAAATGTCCTGGTCGTTGACAGAGGAAACACTTCTTAGTAGTTTTCCTCCCTTTTTAGACCTCCACCGGAGTTTGAAACCTCGCGCGTGCGCCATCAATTTCCATTGGCTCCGCCGCCTGGTAAGGCTCCCTCGGTATCTCTGGAATGCGGTAGTCATGGAAACGCTCCTCTCTCATTTCCCACTCCTCCTGCGCCCGCGCTTCTTGGCGTACGCCTATCGCGAGCACAGCCTTTGTGAGCTCGTCCATCGACCGTGGCCGGGGTGCTCGGGACAACTCATCTTTCACTCCAGGGGACAGACCCGCCTCAAACAACATTTGTATCGGTTCAGAGTCCAGATCCCACCCGAGCCGGTGGACTAACATCGCAAAACGCGACCAGTAGTTTCTGACAGACTGGCTCCCCTGCTTGCACCCCATCAGTTCCCGCCTTGTCACTCTTTGCTGCTCCTCGCTGGAGAACATCGCGTCCATTGCCTGAAAGAATTTCTTAAGGTCCTTCAGGGCATCATTTTGCGTCGCCATCAGGGGCCTGATCCATTTGCGCGCCCCACAATGTAAGCCACCCTTTCCCCATCATCAGCAAAGTCATTTTTCTGCAGCTCCAAAGCGTACTGCACTTCTGTTCAGAATGCATTGTAGTCTTGGGGCTTTCCGCCAAACTTGTGTACCAGCCCTAGGACTTGCCGATCAGAAGGTCCGCGGTTCGAATCCCCATGACGGGGTGAGCTCCCGTTGCTCAGTCCCTGCTCCTGCCAACCTAGCAGTTTGAAAGCACGTCAAAGTGCAAGTAGATAAATAGGTACCGTTCCGGTAGGAAGGTAAACGGCATTTCCGTGCACTGCTCTGGTTTGCCAGAAGCAGCTTAATCATGCTGGCCACATGACCCGGAAGCTGTACACTGGCTCCCTCAGCCAATAAAGCGAGATGAGCGCTGCAACCCCAGAGTCGGTCACGACTGGACCTAATGGTCAGGGGTCCCTTTACCTTTTTAAGGATCAATATATGTACCGCAGTTGCAGTCTCTGAGATAATCCCTCCGGTGGACTGTGTGGAGAAACTTCCTCCATGCCTAGTTGCTGGTGGGTGCATCTGCCACCCACTAAAAATGTCACCATGCACATGGCATACTGCCCACCAAAAACACACATGCAACCTTTCACCAAGTTTTGCACTGGCAGCAACTGTGGCTATGTAACAGGTTATTTTTCCGCACTGAGGGGAAACATGGATGAAATGCAAAGAGAAAGTACAGACTGACATTGCGATGCCAATGACGTCTTGTGGAGCCTGTGAAAAACCTGTGTGCATGAACAGGACGGCTTCCCCAGCAAACTCCCATCTACGACATATATGGGCTGGGATTGTGGTGCCAATTCCTTTAGGCGGGCACAATGAAAAGCAAAAGAAAAGGGAAACCTCTAGAAAAGTGCATGCATATTCTAGAGAAATTGGTTCTTCCACGTGTCTGGGTATGTAAGCATGTCTCTGTTGCCAGTGTAAAATCGGAACAGTCATGCCCCCTAATGCATTCTCACTGCTGAAGGCAGGCAGAATAGCTTTCCTTGTGGCTTGTTCACATGATTAAAAATATCTGGAGGCAGCACAGTATTAAAATCCCTGGAGCTATAATGGAAACCACATGCATAATAAATATGTCCAGGGGCCCCAGTCTGCTTGGATCACTTTGCTTTTCAAGACAGAAAAAGAAGAGAGAAAAACCTTTTGTCTGAGACAGGCTAGTGGGTGGGATGGGATCTCATGTATGCATTTCCTTCTCATTTCCTAATCTATAAGATTGTGCCAGAAGAGTCTTCCTTAGCCCCAGGCTACGCTGAACTTGTGTTTAGGTTTTGCATATTTCTCACTTTAAAAGCTGTGTTTGGCATAAGGGGAAGAAAGGAAGTTCGCCCTGGCCAATTTCTTCTGGATAAAGGACAAGACGTAGCCTCTCTTTGCAGCACACATGCCATATGCGTAGTTCCTCCGTTAGGATCTAAATGTTTCACAATTTGGGACATTCATTATTGGTGTTTTTATTTGAGGAGCAAGTATTCAGAGGTCAAAATGTGGTGCTTCATTGGAACAAAACTGAGGCACTCTTAAACACACTTACCCACTGAATACCATGAGGCCCACCCCTGCATAACTATGCCCAGAAGTACACTGGTAATATATGAGCTAGCAACTCAGTTTATCCAGCTAAAAAATAATCTGTGTTACATTTTGGAGCTTCCTTAACGCAGGAATAACCCTAGAACAAGGCTGAACTCAGGGTTTTAGGCATTAGGCCAAGAACAACATATTCTGGCCCAGAATTTGGCTGTCTTTAAACTGTGCCCCAAATTAGCTGCCTGATGAGGTGAAAATTTCAGACTGCCTCATGATGAGGCCAGCATTGGCTTGGCCATAGAAGTTGCTGCAGCTGTGAGATGTCAGCTCACAGATTAAATAGCTTGTGTACATAGGCTTTTTCTTGCGAATGGAGGAAAGAGGGGGGAAATGGTCAAAGGTAACATGCAAAATGGGATCGAAGGCTATTGTAACGTGGTAAGTGGGGTGCTTTCCCACTGCGACTTGCTGAATCAGCTCCCTCATGGAAGGCCTGAAGTACATGAAGTGGGAGGTAAAGGAAACCAAATGCTGGCAATCCTCAATGTGTGTCAAAGCACATTGTTGCAACACACATCATTTTTAAAGACTGGAAGCAGTTTGTTTTTTTAATTAAAAAAAAGGTTTTTCCACCCTCGTAGGAACATAGGAAATTGTCTTATGCCAAGTTAGACCATTAGTTCATCTAATTCAGGGTTTCCCAAACGTGGGTCTTCAGCTCTCTTTGGACTACAACTCCCATCATCCCTAGTTAGCGGGACCAATGGTCAGGGATGATGGGAACTGTAGTCCAGAAACAGCTGGAGACCCAAGTTTGGGAAACCCTGATCTAGTTCAATATTGTTGGTGCTGAGTGGTAGTGGCTCTCCAGGGTTTCAGACAGAGGCGTTCCTACTCCTATGCAGCGATGCCAGGGATTGAACCTGGAACCCCTGAGTTTTGGCTCTTCCCCGTCTTCGTAACTATGCCTAGATTCAGTAAGTCAATATTGTCCATTATTTTCCCCAAGCTGCCCCTTTTCAGTCCTTCAGGGAGCTCACCTAACCTTGTCTCCTGTTCCAAGTGTTTTTTCAAATTCCAAGTTGAAATCATACAGTGATATGGATTCTGACAGGACAGTATACCACTGACACCACCATCTATTTATCCTTAACATTGGGGGCGGTGGTGGTGGTGGTGTGTCATTTCACCCTCAAGGACTGCATGCCACGGTTGGCAAACCTGGTCTACAGCTTCCATCTCCCGAACCAATGGTCATGCTGGCCAGGGATGGTGAGAAGTGGAGTCCAACAATATCGCCATGTTGGCTACCCCTGGTGTAAGGAGCAGTTCTGTGAACTGACTGAGAATGAATCCAAACAAGACTGAATATATCAGGTGGATCAGTGACTTGGAGGTATAGATAGACACCTGCCATTGGTTCTTCCTGGTCACTGAGTCATGCAGCCTTGAAGTGATCCTAGAGACCCGGATTAAGATGCTGCTCCAAGTGTCTCCACCAAGTAGCCTGAGGCCTTTTCAGAGGCAGGAGGACACACCCAGACCATGGAACAGTCTCTCGCACAGGCTCAGCTGGCGTCTTCTTTATGATCTTTCCTTTGCCAGTTAAAGACCTTTTTATTCACCCTTTTCAAAAAATCATGGTATTGTAGAGTTAGAAGGGACCCCACGGGGTCATCTAGTCCAACTCCCTGCGATGCAGGAATCCTGCCCATAGCTGTCCCTGGGTAGGCTTGAACCACCAACCTTCTGGTTAACAGCCAGCCACACTGACCCGATAAATAACTTGTGATCTAGTTATCTAGTCTATCAATGCCTGGTCTATATTATGTTGTATAGCTATACCCTCTTTTTTTCATTTGCTAGTTTTAAAATTCACACACACGCACACACACATACACTACAACAGGCACATCCAATTTCCATGAGACTGCGATCTACTCCAACTATAAAAAAAACTGGCAGTGATCTACCCATCAAAGTTGTTGAGTTTTGGGGGGGAGCATCAGCCGAAGTTGTTGAGTTTTTTTAATGGGGGGCGATTGGGGTCCTGCAATTAACCAGGATCAACCAGGGACACCCCACAATCAGCCAGTAGATCACAATCGACCTGTTGGACACCCCTGTTCTAGAAAATGTATGTCGTTGAGTACCTTATACAAAAGCAACAAACAAATAAATGGCAAATCACACTGCAGAAGTATCATATCAGGATGGGGAAGGGCTGAATTACGGGCCTGGTTTGGGTGTGATTGCTGCACTAGCTCCAAGCTAGGACATTGACTTGCCTCTCTACTGTCTGTCCTGGACAGTGTGAGTGGCAGGGCTGTCAATACAGTGGTAGCCTGGCATTTCACTAAGTCCAATCAGACAGTGCCTGGGGATTGGATTGTGCCCTAGATAGCTATATGGGTGTGTTTGTGTGTGCGCTTATTTTAAACATTTAATATTGATATCCAACCAGGTATTAAATTCTAGTAAGTCTGTGCAATGCCTTCCTCACAGGTCTTAATGCTACATACAAAACAATCTCAGCTGATTTCCCCCTACAGCAGCAGCAGCCTGATATCTTACTGGACGTCCCAGTCAGTGCAGCCAAGGGGGACAGGGTTGTTGGCAGTTGTAGTCTAGCAACAGCTGGAGGGCACCAGGTTGGGGGAGGCTGCCCTACAGCAGTCCCTCTTCCCTCGCTTTCAAGCAGCTGCTCAGGACTCTTAGTTAGAGGCCAATTACTCTGCACAACACTAACGCCAAGAAAGTGGGCATTGTACATAAGGAACAAAGTGCCTACTCAGTCTTCGAAACAAACTTCACTTTATCTGCACATCATTAGAAACTAAGAGTGCTTGAGTTCTTCCCCCTGGAGAGCACATGCCCATGTTTGGAATGCCTTATGGATGGAATACTTGAAGTGAAAGGGTGTGTGTGTGTGTGTGTGTGTGTGTGTGTAGGGAAAGGAGGAGGAGAGAGGCAGCTTCTTATTCAAATAGATCTCAGATAGTAGTGCTGATAAACTTTTGGGGGAGTTTTTGGATTCATTAATCTTGCATTTTTATGTTGTGAACCGCTCTGAGATCTACGGATGAAGGGCAGTATACAAATTTAATAAATATGAATAGTAGTAATAATAATAATAATAATTCAGATCAGAACCTGCTTCTACCCTGATGAACACATGATTCAAATGCACACCCTAAGAAAACTCTGATTTGTATAATAATTCACTAAAAGCAACACTGAGGTTGCTGGATTTTCCACGGCACTTGGGTGTCTCCTCATTTGTCTCTCTAGCAATTTACTTAAACCAAAGATCCTAACAAATTGTGAACTGAAATGTATAATCAGAGAGGACATAAGAAAATATTACCGAGGACTCCCATTGACCAAAAAAATGGTTAGGTTTCCAAGGTAAGGGGGGGAGGCAAAATCCAAAAACACCTGCTTTCCTAGTGTCACTCATTGCATTGGGGCATACCCCATGAGTATATATCCCTGAGTATATGTCATTCAACTCTGCTGGTGCTTACTTATAAGTAAGTTCAGTGAAACTTACTCCCACCCACATGAGCATGCATAGCACTGCAGTCTTCCAGACTATTGCACAACATCATAAAATTGCTGAGCTGGAACAAATGTGAAGGCCACCATATCATTTGTTCAGCATGATTCTCCATTTCTGGCTTCTCCTACATGATTTGCTGGTACTGTATTATCCGTCATGTTCTGGATGGCAACAAAAAGCATGGGAATCGCCAAGATTTTTGTTAGGGGTTTTTGTGGTTTTTTGGAAATCCAGTTTTGACCTTTGTTGAGCTTTTTTTTTTTTTTTTTAGGAAATCAAGGTTGCTGAGCTTTTCTTAGGAAAACACGGATAAAAAATACCCCATAAATAGGACATTGCACGGGACAGGCTTCTGCAGGGGGTGGGGGGCAACCTCAGATAATTGAGTACTTTCAATGCTTTTGAATAATATTTGTGAATCCTGCTGCCCCCCCCCCCCCCCCGGCTACACCCATGGGTACAGGAGATGGGGAGGAAAGGGGGAGGAAATGAAGCGACAGGAAGCCTTTCATGTGAACAACTCCAAATCCTTACCTAGTTTGGAGTGAGGCATGACTTATTTTTATTTTTGGACTGCTCTTTTTTGCAAGCATGGTAGATCACAAAAGGTGTATGTGCACATGTAAACAAATACCCATGGATCTCAGGTTTCCTGGGCTTGGAGCAACACCCACACACAGAGCTGATGTTTTGCGCAAATCTGCTAGATTGAGAAACTTGTATTAAAAAAAACAAAGAAAGGTTTGTGCTTACAGGTAAACAGATACCAGTGTGGATGCCCATAATGACCTCAGGGAAGGCCAGCCCACCCATGAAGTGGTGTGAATTAGAAGCCCCCAAGTCAGCACCCTCATAGGCACCTCCTGCCAAGCCCCCACCTCTGCCAGAGAAGCGGTGCCAGTATAGGTGCTGATTTCCTGCAAAGTCTTGCAAGATGTCAAGGAGAGCAAATGATCTCATGAGATTTGGGTGAGATATTGAAAGCTCTTTTGCGGAATCGGCACCCATGCCAGCACTGCTTCTCAACAAGCGGCGGAGGTGACTCAGCTAGTGGTACAGCTGCAGTGCCACCGACAGGTGGCGCAGTGGTGGTGAGCGTCCCACGGGTGGTGGTGCAGCAGAACTGGGTGGCACTTCTTGTATTGCCTCAAAATGGGACGTACCTCAGGATTCCAGAACTTACAGCTGTCAGCCCAAGTGGGGCTTGCTAGTTCGGGGAGGAGGTATGTGATTCCTCAGCTAGAGTAGGCTCAGGACAGGTGAGGCTCACATGCCTCATCAAGCTCAGAAGGTATAAAATGAAAGTCGTTCTGGCCAGGCCTGCGATTTGGACTGGAGCCACAATGTGGAAAGAAAGGATGAGTTTGCCCTTATGGGATCTCCAATGTGGTGTGCCCAGCCCCTACTCACAGTAGTCCTATGTTGTGAAATGTGGTGTTTGGGGGTGGGGTTGATTGGGATACTGCCTGTTTGTTGGTGATGGGTTTTTTAAATATATATACCTGTGGTCAGTGCTATTTTTCTAGAAAAAGATGTGCCGGAAATCAACACAAACATCTTCCTTGTTCTCTTAGAATGGCATTGGTGCCCACCTGAGAGGTGCCGGAACTGCAGTTCTGTGAGTTCCAGCTGAAAAAAAGCCTTGCCCATGGTGATATTTTGCTGGATGCTGTCTCCCTCCATGCCCTCTACTTCCATTTTGTTTGCATCCTTCCGCCCAAAGTAAAGGCTGCAATCTGCCTTTTCCCACAACCAGGTGCTGAAGGGACAATTTATGGTATTTCTATTTTTACAATTAACACAGCTCTTTTAGACAGAAATGCATTTGCGCAAAAGAGTAGTATTAAAAATAAAAAGTTCCCCTTGCCTACAAGCTGGACAGAAAACACATTTAGCAAAACAAACCTCCCTTGTAAAAGATGTGTGTAAAAGATGCAGGTAGGGACAGATGAACCAAACCAGATTTCATCTTCTGAAGTTAAGTGAACAAGCTAGCTATCTAAAAGGACTTTTCAGTGTCAGACCTTAAATTGGTCACAAATGGACTGAACAGTGGGCTGGGACCCGGGTTCAGATCCTAGCTTTGGAAGCGTTGGCTATCTTCTGTCCATCTTCCTCAGCAGCGAAGAAATAAGCCTCCTTCAATAAGTTGTTCCTAGGATAAATAAACGTGATGCAGTCAGCAGAGTGGAATTAACAAATTCCGAATTAACACCCTCCAAACTTGATGGCTTTTAAACAGAATCTGCAAGTTCCATTATCAAATCCAGAGGATACATGATGTTCCATGGCAGGATAGATCTGTGATTTTCACGTGGCAGTAGGCATGGCCTGCATTTTGATGGTTCTTTGGAGGAGGGGGAGAATGAGGATCACTGTAAATGTGACTTTCCCCTCTTCTCTCCTGTTTGACTGAAGGCATCTCCTGTAACTAAACTTACAGGTGTTAAGGAGGAGTACCCAAGGAACACACATCTGCCCCACCTCCACCAAGGACATAATCAGCCAGTCTTCGGGGATGATGGCACTTTGGATTGGAGGAGAAACCCTTGTGCGATCGAAATGCAAAGCGGGGAAAGTCCCTAAAGGCTAATCATCTCCCATTCTTACAACCAGGTGAGCTAAACTGATGTTGCAAATCTATTCAGTGAAGCCATTTATTGTATGGCACGGAAAAATCAGAGCCCGTGGTTCCATCACCTTTAGCACTGAGTCCCAGGACACCTTGTCCGCTCTCCTTTTGCTTCGGTCTTTGAACGACAGCTGTCAACGGAATGATTGACATCGTTCCGGACTTTTCACCCAGCCTTCCGACCACGGAGATGTCAAGCCGGCCACTCCCTCGCGGCGGACTAATCCTTTGCTCACCCTAAATAGGCCCTGCGTGCTGGCGATGTTCCCTGCCGGAGGATAAAGATAGAGAGGCGCTGCCCCTTTAAATAGTAAAGGGTGTTCTCTCTCAGGCCACCATGACATATCTGGGCGTTGAAACGGGGGCTGAATAAACGGGGCGAGCACGAGACCTGCGGATGCAGTAAAGGGTTTGCAACCAGCGAGGGCTCACTCGGCGCGCACAGGAGTTTAGAGGCAGATCTGCTTCTGTCCGAGATCCAGCAACTGGAGTTTAATCCCACCTGGCTCTCGCTTTCTAGGGAATACTGCTTGGGGAAAAGAGCAAGCTCTTTGGCCTTGGTAAGTAGTTTATTATTTTTATTATTTATTTATTAATTAATAAACGCTCAGATCTAGCAGACATTAGTATTGGGACAGCCTTTCCTCTTACAGGCTTCGGGGTGCCAAAGATTCACGAGGAGCACAACTTCGAGAAACGCGGTGGCTGTTCTCTTAATTCGGATTGCCACCGATACAACACTCTAGAACTGATGATAGATTTCCACTGCTTCGGTTACTATGGGCGGGAGGTGGTGGTGGTGGTGGTAGGAAGACAGGTGGCAGAGGTCTGTCAGGTGTAAAATCCTAGCAATGCAATCAATTTAAAGAGTGAGGTATGCTACCCCCACCGTCGGATTCCTCTCTGGGTGTCAGGTGAGCAGTACACAAATGCAGAGAAATGAAATCGAGAGAGGAACGGATGTGATCGGCTTGAGAGAGCGCGCGCAACATAGGCAACAACAGGTTTTGGGGTGAGGGTGGCCGGGACAAACCTGAGCCTTCTGGCCCAGGAGCGATCGGATGCAGCTTGCTCTTGCACGCATCAGCTGGGGGGGGGGGGCACAGAGCGGTTAAAAAACCCACCGGGAACACGCCAGAAATCGAATCAAGAGCAGCTATAAGGAGAGTGTAGGGTAGCGGTCTCTTCTCGGGGTTACCGATGGAACGCATTGCGCGTGTGTTGTGTGCCACGCACCGCATCCTACCCCAGTGAGACGAGCCCAGTGTGGAAAAGGAGGCGCTTAATGGACTTTGGCGTGGATGGACTGTGTTGAATCCGTTGTGTCTAGCTGAGCTCCCTAGGCACGTCAGGCCGTCGGCCTCTTCTTCCTCTGGATCCCCGGAGCCCACCAGCGGCTCCATCGTAGCTGCGCCTACCTGGCCATCGCGCCCCCGTCCTGCGCCCCTCTCTTCGAGGGATTTGCATCCGCAGCCATCCGAGGACGACCGGACGCGAAGATCTCCGCCGCCTCTTGACCCGCCTTGCGTTTCAGCAAGGAACATCGCTTTCCCAGGACCGGAGAGGGGAGAGTGCTTGTACCGCGGGACCACGATCTTTCCCATGCCCTCCGCCATAGCAGCCAACTCGTAGGGGCTGAAGTTCCTTTGCCCCCCCCCCTCCATAAAATATTTGAGTTGGTGGGCATTGCTATTCCGATGGTGTCGGTGCCCCTCATTTTGTATTCAATTATCTGGGGCGGGGCTTACCTGGGCCCCCCAATATTTTATTCAAGTTGGCACACCTGCCTTCCGCTTTTCCACTGGGGATGAGAAAGAAAGAAGGAAGGAAGGAAGGAAAGAAAAGCCCAGAAGAGGAACCGTAGCTATCCGGGCTTGGATTTCTGGGGCCCACGATCCAAGGCGGCCGCTCCGTTGGCAAAGCGATAGTCCGCGCGCTCTCCCTTTTCCTTTCCCGTCGGGGAAAGTATTTATAGACACCCGCCCGTTTCCCCTGCCCGTCGGTTTACGCCGGCGCCCTGGACCCGCCCTACTTGGCGCCCGGCCACCATTGGGCGTTGTTCTTGGGGTCCCGCCCATTCGCGGGCTCACTCGATCTTCGGACGGGGAGGCACGCGGGCGCCCGCACTCGGCGCGCAGTCTTCGTCGGAGAGAGCGAGTGGCCAGGTCGCCTGCCAGAGGGAGCGCGAGCTTTTATTTTAATTTTTTGAAGACCAGTAAGTAACCCGCCTGTCTTCCCAGCGCATTCTTTTACAGATAGATATTTGGGGTGGAGGGGAGCAAGAGATTTTTCCACTGAAGCGCCCCCTGGGACCTCTCTTCGCAACCGGCCCCATGGCCCCTCTACGGTCCGTGCGCGCACTCTAGATTTGGATTATAACGTCAGCAGCAGCCCCACCCAGCCTTCGACCCCTGGATGCGGGAACCTACTTGACCCAGCTCCCCAGAAAGTTTATCGGGGGGCTCGCTGCGTGTTGATGCCTGTTGCATTGAACCCCACTTTGTAGCACTATTGTGTCTAGCGGTGAGAGCGGGGTGGAGAGCTCTCCCCAAGGCTTCGCGCCGCTGAGAAAGTCCGCTACTCCAGGCTGGGGCTGATATAATTAGAAACGGGTTGAAACATTTTAGCACGTAGATCTTTCCCCCTCCTCTCCTCCCCCCGCCGGCCCTGGAAGAATTCCGCTCCTCATAACAGTCGCTTGGCAGATTTTGAAGTGTGCGTAAAGGGGAACGCGAGAGAGTGCATGGCGCTCTTCTGTGAAAGAAAACTTGCCTAGAGAGATTTCATCTGTATTTGATTATAAAGATCCCCCCCAAAAACTTTTTACAACAGTATTTCGAATAATTGATCGCCTGGTCCCTCCGAATCCGCAGGACTTCATCGTTGTGCCTGCTCCCCAAATTCCATCTCTCCCACAATTGGCCGCCTAGGAATCTCGCCCCCCCACCCCAAAAAAGAGGGAAACCCATGGTTTTTTTGTGTGAATTTCATGCAATATCTGTATTTTTGTACAGTTTCCACATTCTATTTGGAAGCTGTGGGGGAGATAGCTGGCGGGCTGAGTTTGTGGGGCTTGTGGTTTAATGGGCTCCAAATGCTGATTATTCAAGGGAGAATGGTGGCTTTGTGGCATAACGGTTTCCATTTCCCGCCTCCTGAGCCAGTGGAGGTCTAGTCCAAGTGGGGTGGCTGTTTTCCTGCTTTATTTTAGACTCTTTTCTTTTCTGCTTTGGAGCTCTTTCTCAAGCACTCATTTAGAAAACAGATACTTGTTATATGAATATATCACCTCATCATCTGCTGGCTGTTTGGGAGCAGAGTGCACACCCTCCCCCTGCAATAAAATGGAAACTTTGAGGAATGTGATGTCGTTTGAGTTTTTCCATATGCCAATAGTCGCCATAAGTTTTCCAAATCTTGGGGGTGGGGGCAGGGAGGGGAAGGAATCCAGCCCTGAAAAGGGAAATAATCTAAAAGATGTGATATTTTAGGGAGAGGTTGGAGGGGAGTTTCAGATCATTTATTCTGACCCCTTCAGCTCTGTTTGCCTTTTGATGGGTATGTTCACTGCACCAGGCTCTGGGGCTGGTTTATTTCAAATCTCACCCTTTACTTTCCAAACCTGCCAAATTGGTTGGATTTCTTCAGACATGCAAGATTAATTACTCCCTGCCCTGCCACTATTGGCTAGATCTCCTAGTCAAGAAGTTTGAAAACTTCCCATCTGCCTCCACCTTCAGTGCACATTCTCTGCCCCCTCTTACACACACACACACACACACACACACACACACACACATATATACATACACACATACATATATATGATGTATATTATTTTTTCATGCATTTATTTAGCTTCGTCAAACCATATGGTGTATATTTTCTGTCTCAGAGGCACCCTCTGCTGTTCGTGTCTCAAAATTAGACTTGCCTCATCATCCCAGTATTATGTAGAAGGCTGTTCACTGGTAACCTTTCTCCCTTTACTTAAAAGTGTGTGTGTGTTTTATATTTCCCTTCCAGATCTATCCAACACTTGCCAAAATGCTCCTTTTGTTGTTGGGAATCATTGTGCTCCATGTTTCAGTGCTTGTCCTTCTCTTCGTCTCAACAATTGTCAGTGTAAGTACAAACACTCCTCATTTGTTTTCCAATTCCCTTCCAAGCTGCTAAAGGGCAGGAGGGTGAACCAGAGCTTTTGAACTCTGGTCCTAACACGCTCTGCCTGTAGATGCGATTCCATTGGAATCTGTAGAAGTTTACTTTGCATTTAAAACTGCACTTTCTCCATTGAACTCAGTGAAAGGCCTGAGCAAACATGTTAGGCTTAGGCTGTTTTTGTTTGCAACCCCAATGCTTCTTTATGGAACTGATCACGATGGAGATCCAATAGCTTCTCATGAAAAAGGAAGCTGTTGCCGCCAAAATGGCTCCCAAATGACTTCATTGTTTGCGTCGCAAGAATAGCTGAAGAACCGTTTGTTTTTTTGGAGATCAGGTTTCTGGAGCGTGTGAGCATCTTGAAGCATATGAAACCTTTATAAATAATGTTAGTCTTTGCTAGTTAAAAAGAAAAGCCAAACTAGGAGAGTCACAAAGCTTTCTTAAATCTGAGCCAGGACTCTGTCCCAGAACTGGTTTTAAGTTCTAGAGAAGAGAGAGAGCCTGAAAATCTACAGAGCACATTTCCCTCTCCACTAGGTGACTTGCCTATACAGTCAGCCACTACATATTCAGCATTCAGGAGAAAGAATTACTATGCTGCTGGATGCATTCACATTTCCATATCTATCTGTTAGCTAATCTGTTACCTTAGGTGGAGGTGTGTCAATGAATTCCTGATTGTAATCAATTGTGTGAGCAGCTTGTTTCATTTGCATGCTTTTCAGTAAGGTCTTACAAAAAAAGAAAAAGAAAAGAAAAAACAGCCAATGGATGTGTTGGGAGTGGGAGGTGAGGCTTGGGGAACTGGATTTCCCTTTCCCTGTCGATTTGGCAAAAGCTTAAAGAGAGAGGTATTTTCTTTTTCGTTGAACTCTCTCTCCTTTTGCAATGGATGCAAAGAATGAAAGTACAAAGCACTTTTTCTTTATTTCAGTCAATTTAAATAGGATTGTGTTTGTTTTTGTGTGTGCCCCCCCCCCGAAATAAGCTTTTAGTTATGCACAAAAGTTTTTTGTTTTTTTTTAAAGAAAGCTTAAAGTGCCTCTTTACTGCTCAGGGATTCAGTTCAGTCCTTAAGCAAGAACAGACATGTAGATGAACTTGCACCAGGAAATGGATCACTTTTAGTACATGGTTTCTCTCAGTGCTTAGTTTGTATGTGGCCCTGCTCCTTTTAAACTTCCCCTCCTCTCACTGTGTTCTGTCCTTCTCTTTCAGCAATGGCTCATTTGGGATGGGCACACATCAGCCCTTTGGCAGAACTGCACCCTCCAGGGGTCCCTGAGTTCGTTTCAGTGCGCCAAAACGTCCGCAGATGGTAAGGATTCTGTCACCTTTTCTTCACTTTGCCTCCTATGATACCTTTTTAGAAATAGATTGGACAATGAGCTAGTCCTCAGGGCCTGCTCTGAGTGCAGTTTGGGTGAAATCCTGCACCCCAGTCCCGTGTGTGTGTGTGTGTGTGTGTGTGTGTGTGTGTGTTGCAGTGTTCTCCTCCATGTTGCTCAAGGGATGGCCATCTGCCATGGATGCTTTTGCTGAGATGGATGACCCATGGGATCTCTTCCAGCTCTATGATTCTAAGGACCTACATCTTCTGACTTCTTGCCAAACCTTTCAGAAAACCTAGAGTCCGATCTGTAACGTTGTTTTAAAAGAGAAAGAAAGAATTGGCCCACCATTCTTAAGATCATGTGAACTTACAGGAATGTGTGAAACTGCCTTATACTGAGTCTGTCCATTGGTCCACCTGGCTTGGTATTGTCTACCCTTGGAGCACATCTTCAGGGCTTCATGGATTCTGCTCTACCTGGAGATGCCAGGGATTGAACCCGAGATCTTTTAAATGCAAATTATGTGGTCAACCACTGAGCTATGGCTCTTCCCCTTCTGTTGCCTGGCTTTCTGATAGAGAAGAAAATATTATTAGCCATGAATAGTTAATACAGAGATGGCTGCTTAAAGCATAATCTTGTGTATGATGTACTCTGGCTACCTACCCACCCACTTCTGCCTACTCACCCGCTCACTACTTGACATAAGCTTATGTCAACATATAAAATCTAGCCTCACTTGCTGTGTTTTGAGTCTTGGTTGTGAATAAAACCTGTATAGGTGTCACACTCTTAGTGGCATAATGGACAGCTCTGTGGGTCGGACTATTCTACAGGCTGGATCACAGTTGTGTTTTAAAGATAAGCTAGAAAGAACCAAATATATTTGGCACATTAAGGCTGCAGTCCTGTGCACACTTACCTTTGAGGAAGCCCTATTGTACACAGTAGGTCTTAACTGGTCAGTGAACATGCATTGGATTAAGCTGTAGAAGCTGTTAATAGCAGGTAAAACGAGGATTCATGTTCAAGAAAGTCCCAGTAGAAATGTAAGTCGGCAACTTTCCTAACTTGCCACAGAGTTGCTGCTGGTTTTTGTTTCATCTCTAAGTATCCAAACATTTCTGCTTACTTTTTTGCTTGCAGTTGATTTGTATTTGTTACTATCACTGCATACAGCTTGTTCACACATCTCACGTTGGCTTGTAGCAAAATACTTCCATGGCTTAATGGCTAGAGGTATCTTGTTTCCACAACTCAGGAGTTGGATAATTCAGAAGTTGGTGAATCATAAATCTTCTGCACTCAAGACAATTTACACCACTGACATTATTATTAACCAATTAGATGTGAATGCTATGGAGAAAGGGTTATTGTAAGGCAACCATGATTCTTTTGCAGCATTTTATTCTTCCTACAAAAAGGAATCCTTTGCTAAGAGGCCAGTAACTAGTTAAGGCAGGAGCCTGGGAACATGCATAAATCTCAAGTTTTCTCAATGGACAGATGGGTGCAACAGATATATTGACACCATAGCTATTATACTTGTTTCATGAATTGTCTGGAACTAGAGGCAAACAAGGAAGTAGTCAGGACCACTGATGATCTTCTCAAATTTATAACAGCAAAATACCATGCAGGTAGCAAAGACTCTTTTGAATCCAATTGACAGGATGAAAAGATGGCAGCTTAGATTTTGGAGCAAGTTTGTATCACTGTTTTCTTCACTCTATATAATTTTTTTTTTGAAAAAACAAGTAAATTATGGAGCTAGAGAGGGTACAACAAAAACCTCCACAATTAAAATGATGAGGGGATAGACTATCTTTTCATCTGAATAAATGTTTAAGAATTTGAGGGTGGGGCATGGCGTCCAAAAGATGGTCACCAACTTGGATGGCTTTAAAAAAGGATTGGACCAGTTAATGGAGGATAAAACTAATAATGGCTGCAGTCAATTGTTTTGAATACGAGTATGAATATTCCTCTGAATACCAGTTGCCGGGGCTCATGAGCAGGAAAGTTCTGTTTTGCTCCTGCCCTACTTGTGAGCTTCCCTACTTGTGAGTAGTCAGGCCCACTGATGATCTACAGAATGCTCAACAGTGGAGACTGGTCTATCAAGTGAGGTGTTACCCCATCAACTTTCACCTCCCTTCAGCCAGCTCCCTCCTCTTTGCCTTCTTTCTTACATCCAGCCCAGAGGATGGTATTGGCTATCAGTTTCCTCTTCCTTAGTTTCAATGTTGCCATTGTAGAACACAGTGGGGAGGAGGATGGGGGCAGAACTAGTCGGCGCTGCCTCTCATTGGCTCTGGCTCCACCTACTGTTGGACTCCCTGCCTTCCGCCCCACCAGTCCCAATGGGCACCAGCCACCACAGATGCTGGACTAGGAATCCTTTAGTCCCATGGTGGCTAAACTTGGCCCTCCAGCTGTTTTGGGACTACAACTCCCATCATCCCTGGCTAACAGGACCAGTGGAAATGTAGTCCCAAAACAGCTGAAGGGCCACCACTGCTTTAGTCTAATCCAACAGGGCTCTTCTCCCTTAAGGAAGGCGTGGAGGGAGTGTAACTTGCTTTCTATTAAATGAATTAACTGACTATTGAACTTTGATTCACAACCTTCTGAATATCTGGGGAGTCCTCTGAGTATGTAGAAGCCACTTCCTTACATTTGTTGCACCCCCTAAGCGATAGGCAGTGGCCCACAACCACCTGCATTTGCTATTATGTTAGACATGGTAGCTAAAAATGGAACCTCTGAGTTCACTGGAGGAATATTAAGTGCTTGGAACAATCGGTGGGGGAGAGCTCTCCCATTGGGATCATAATCATGCCTTGCTTATAAGGCCTCTAAAAGCTTTTGTTGGCCACTGGAGTAGATGAATGTTTGGTATGATACAGCAAGACTATCCTTACGTACTTGTAGATTTGCAGCTGCACTGTGTTGGGAGCAAAGCATCTCCTCCCATTCTCCAGAGTTAAAATCTTAAACCTAGATGATGTAAGCAGAAGCTGAATTTTGTCCATGGAAGAAGGTGGAGAGGGAGAAACCGTTTTGGAGTTATGACCCAAACTGAGCCCCTTTCCATTTCAGTTTGTAAATAATCACTCTCCTAAGATTGTTCTTCTACCCAGCTCAAGTCCTGGAATTTCTTAGCAGCTGTGGGAGCTGCTGTAGGCTGCAGTCCTATACACCCTAATCTGAGAAGACATGTATAGGATTGGGCTGTTTGACACTGGGCCTTAGTTGCTGATAGTGTTTCAAAATTGCAGTGACCTCTCCAGTTTGTTCTTAGGGTGTGGCAAAGATTGCGTTTCCTAAGATATTGTGCATCTGCTATCAACCACCATTCTACTTGTGGTTTGCTTCTGTTCTGTGGATGCCCTAAGGAAATGGCACCAAGTGGCAAATCCATATCATAGTTGTTGTTGCCTCCTACATCACATTGTCTCCTAAGGTCATGTGGCTTTGAGGGCACTTAGTGATTACAGATGTTCCTTATTCCATCATAGTTACTGAAGAGCAGATTTCCTCCAGTCATAACTTGGCCACTTTGAGTACAGTGGTGCCTCGCAAGACGAAATTAATCCGTTCCGCGAGAGTCTTCGTCTAGCGGTTTTTTCGTCTTGCGAAGCAACCCTATTAGCGGCTTAACGGATTAGCGCTATTAGCGGTTTAGCGGCTATTAAAGGCTTAAAGGCTTAGCGGATTAGCTGCTAAAAGGCTATTAAAGGCTATTAAAGGCTTAGCAGATTAGATAAAGGGGGGGGGGAAATCTCTAGACTCGCAAGACATTTTCGTCTTGCGAAGCAAGCCCATAGGGAAATTCGTCCTGCGAAGCAACTCAAAAACGGAAAACCCTTTCGTCTAGCGGGTTTTCCGTCTTGCGAGGCATTCGTCTTGCGGGGCACCACTGTATCTTCTCAATGAGACACTAGGAGTTGAATCCCAAAGCATTTCTTTAGGCATAGTCATGCGATGTGAATTGCTCCACTTCTGTATCCCCTCCAGGCACATTTTTTCAAAAGCTGAATAGAGTTGAATGGTCTCAAATCAGTGCCTTGAAATTGGGCATTTATTTATGTAATAGTTAAGAGTTAATATTAAAATTGTGGTTGTGAAGTGGGCCATCATTTTTGTTCTTAGTTTAGAACAGCTCACTCCGGTAGGATGATAGTTGGTGTTTCCATGGGAGCTGGAAATCTCATGGGTTGAAGGAGAGCTTTGTGACAATCGGTGGGACTGGCCAGTCAACATTAATGGTGAAGCAAATCTAGGAATTGATGCCTGATAGGAACTGGAGTGCAGTCACTCCACACATCACCCAGGTAGGCGTTCAGGGAATGAAATAATAATTGTGATTGTGGCAGTATTGTGGAAGGTCATACTTCTTGTATTCATTTAGAAGTTCCTTAACTTGGTCCAGGATACCTTGAAGACTGCTCAGTACCTTATATCCAGTGTGACTGTTGAGGTTTTCAGGGGAGTCAGTGTTAGTGATTCTCCATGGTTCAGATGCATAACTCACTTCCACCAGGAGTGTTCAGTATTGTGGGTTCAATTCTTCAATTCTGTGGAACTCCCTGCCAGTTGAACAGGAAAGGTGCCTGTTTGATGTCAACTTCTGGCACTTATTGAAGACTTCATTTTAAGTGAGATCCCCCCCCCCCCGATTTTTAATTGCTTTTATGTTGTAGCCTTCATGTATCCCTCTTGTATACTGCTTGGAAATGACAGTATTAACTGGTATATAAAATATGAAGAATAAGGGGGAAAGGATAGAAGCAGAATTTAAAAACTGGTTGGTATTTCCATACAACTTATGGACCTCCAGGTGTAGTTGAACTCTACTCCTGTCATCCCTGACCATTTGACATGTTCACTGGGCCTGATGGGAGCTGGGGTCCCGCAATGTCTGGAGGGCATCAGAGTTTCCCATTCCTAACATACAGTACAAGATGAGTTGGAGACCTGAGGCTTGGGAAGTTTAGACATGGTTTCCTACTTGCATAGTTTGGACCAATGACTGGTTGCTTGTTTTTCATTTTGGTTTTTAAATTTGGACCTTTATTCTTTCATTCGTGTGGCATGTCCATATGAACATACTTCTGGCAGCATTTCCTCTCTAGAATCCTTGACTCCAGTGAATGGGAGCATGTGTGTTGCAAACAATGAGCTGCTTTTGCTCTGTGGAAAGTTTATGAAGGAACTGGTGTGACCATCTAAATCGCTGCAGCATATTTCATGCTGGAGCTCTGTGATACCCTGGGTTTAAAAGATCCCTAGGTGCCCAGTAGCTGTTGTGGGAGCTCAGCGTGGAGGCTTCTGCTGGAATGTTAAACTATGCCGAAAGCTTCAAGGCCCATGGCTGCTTTTTCCCCCAGAAGAGAAAAGTCTGCAAAATGGGTGTGTGTGGATGGTGCTGTTTTGTGCCTCTCTGCTGGCCCCTAGTGGTGCCAGCTCCATATGCAAGCGCCTGGGTACATCTGTGTAACAATGTGGCAGATTTACACGGCTGCAGTGATATCCTTAATCAGCATTCGGTGGCATTAGTTTCAGCATAGCTATATGTGCAGGGTAGGCAAGCCGTTTCAGAGTCGCTCATGCATGGCGGAATTTGGCTGTGTTTGTGTTTCCAATAAAAGATGTCCTTCTTAATTATGTCCTGCAAATTGGGGGTGCCTGTTAGCACAGCAGGGAAAGGCTAAACTATTATTAGCCATGCAAATTTATAGTGGTGGGTGTTCCAGATTTTACTAACTTACGGGAAAGAAGTACAGTGGTACCTCGGGTTACATACGCTTCAGGTTTCATACGCTTCAGGTTACAGACTCCGCTAACCCAGAAATAGTACTTCTGGTTAAGAACGTTGCTTCAGGATGAGAACAGAAATTGTGCTCTAGTGGCGCGGCGGCAGTGGGAGGCCCCATTAGCTAAAATGGTGCTTCAGGTTAAGAACAGTTTCAGGTTAAGTACGGACCTCCGGAATGAATTAACTACTTAACCCAAGGTAATTTCTTATCCCAAAGGATAACCACAATTAAATAATAAAGAATTATAGAGTTGGGCCATGAGGGTCAACTAGTTCACTGCAGTGCAGGAATCTTTTGCCCAACATGGGGCTTGAACCCACAACTCTGAGCTTAAGAGTCTCATGCCCTACTGACTGAGCTATCACTTGGCTTTTGTTTTGGATAAGTAAATTGTGAGAACAGGAGGATGGCCCATAACAAAACTTGGATTCCTTTTCTCTGCCTCCTTATTTCTGTTACTTCGTCAGCTTCACTTTGACACTGTTACGCTCTCAGCTGCAACAATGAGGCTCACAATCTTGTACTGATGCTAAGGCTGCAATTGTATTGAAGGCTAGAATGTCACAAGTCCCTCAGAATGCTGCGTGTTTTCTGCTCCGCCCTGTAATAAACCCAAACCCCACCTGCACCCTGAGAGCTGGTTGCTGCCGAGACATATAGCATCTCCTTCCCAACGCATGCGGGACACATGGCAGTGCACCCAGGCATTTTGTGTGTGTGTGTACATATTGCACGGACCACAGAGGGAGGTGATCACCCCTACTTCACTTAATGGGTATCAGTGACCAGTCAGTCCTCACATCCTGGGATGTGGTTCCATGCTTACCAAGCATAGCCTCTCATTTGGAGGCTTGGAGAAGAGCAGGCCTCTAGATGCTTATAGGTGTGGTGCAGAAAGGCCTCAAGGAATGGTTAGGTGTGTTTTAGTATGCTCAGTTCATGGCCAACACTAAGGGGGGTAGGATTGCAGTTCATTCTGTGAGAGGTACCTGTACCATTTGCCAGCTCATATGTGGTGTAAGCTGATATAGATCTGGTATTGACGACACCACAGCCCATTCCCCAATGCAAAGCTGGCAGAATTCCCAGGGGCAATTGTGGGATCCATATACGTTCTGGTAAGCTCCTGAGGGAATCAAGAGCACCCCTTTTCAAGAAGCTGCTGTGAACCTGGAACTGTTTCAAGTGATTTGTCTGCAGATATGCCTTCTTGGTTTCCCTTGTCAACCACAAATGTGCCATGAGTAGTTTGTGAGTGTGCATTAATAATAATATCGCCTTCTTGTCTCCGGTTCTGTGGCCTGTAGGATTTTTAGCTATTGAGCCCTATAGGTAATGGGTTTTACCAGTTGTGCTTTTCATTCACACACCTTTTCTTTCTTTCTTTCTTTTTTTGAAACCACCCTTCCCCACAAAACATCACCAGTGGCAGCATTGTACTTATTCTATAAGAGGGGGAAACTGAGGCAGTTGCCAACACCCAGCAGGACCGCTGTAGCAATGCAAGTAGCAAGTTGCTGACCGTGGTCTTTCAAAAGCCTACACCTGCCTTCCCTCATCTAACACAATTGGTATCCTTGCTTCTGGCAGAACATTGCCAGACGACTGAATTCTACACTGGGAGGGGGAGTTACAGAATTAAGCAGAATGCCCTCCTCCCTTAGCCTTTCATGTCTGGGACAAGTTTGTTTGATCTGAGCACATTTCCCCCAGTAAGGATAACGCCTCAATTAGCTGATCAGTATGCGGTCATTGCATGTTCAAATGTTCTGGTCATAGTTTAGTTTGTTCTGCCAGACATTCCTCGTGCGGACTTATCTAAGGAATTCAAGACTGAATCCCACTCGTACCAAAATGAATATCTGTCAGATTCTCTGTTGAAGTGATGCCGCTGCAGTTGGTGAAGTATAGCCTCTCGATCAAGCCCATATAGCATTTTTCAAATTACATTTCTAGGGACACAGACACCCACCCACCCACCCTTCTCTTCTCAGTGTTCTTACTTTCCCAGCATGGTTGCAGAATCCAGAGTCTTGGGATTGTTGAGGTCTTTAAAGCCTTGACAAGACCATGGAGCTAGGTGTGCTACCTCTTCTCATTAACCCTGTTTCTGCACTTTGAGCACAGGACTGAATGAAGCTTTTTGCCATATTTCCCCCCTGATAAACATGCTATGCCTTTAATAGTTTGCATAACAAGCGGAAATCTATCAGGTGCAATTTCATTGCAGGTCATTGCATCTATTCACAGTCTGCTGCTGTGAATACAGAACCTGTTTAGAATGGAATTTGTTGTGATGATGGTACATAGCCCTATATAGAAATATCTCAGCTCCCGAATCTGCTTTAGTTTGTACTCTGGATGCAAACAGGACAGGATTAGGCTAGCTTCTACTGGTGCATAGGATGATCATATTTTTCCTGACAGGGTTCTTGTGCCCCCCCCCCAAATGTGGGGGTGGTGAAACAGCACCTGTTGAATCTGTTTGTTCTGTAACTGTTTAAAGGCAGAGGAGCACTGCCACAAATTTGGCAAGCATACGGCCCTGGTAATCTAGCCACTCTGCTGCTGTGCAGAACTGGAGTCCTACACATCACGGAATTGAGAGTGGAATATAAGGAAACAGCTGACTGCTTCAGTGCTTAATACAAACAGGCAGATGGAGACACCTCTTTACATGATGTATGATGAATTTATGGAGTTTGATACCACAAGATTGGGTGCCAATCACTAGCTTAGATGACTTTCAAGGAAGACCAGGCAAATGCATGGAGGAGAAGTCTTGTCAATGGCTATTAGTTGCAGGAGGGATGTATTCAGCATCTCAGACCTGGTTATTGCCTTCATGCCCTGTTTGCGGTTTCCCCAGAAGCATTGGTTGGCTGCTGTGGGAAGCAGGATTTTTCTGCTTGACCTATCAGTGCCCTGTGTAAAGGAAACCTGATGGGTTCCTCTTATGTTGCCTAGTTCCCTGGAGCTCTTGAACCAGAGTTGAGGAACCTTTGGCCCACCAGGTGTTGCTGAACTACAACTTGCACAATTCCTGGCCACTGGCTGTGCTTTCTGGGACGGATGGGAGTTGTGGTTTAGAAATATCTGGAGGGCCACAGGTCTCTCACACGCATGACCTCAAGAAATGGGGTTTTAGCAGCCCTACTTTGTTTGCAGATTCTCCCATCACAATATCCCTGTTTCAGGCAAAGCATTGGCTGCATGTCCGGCCCGGTAAGGAAAAGTCAGTGGCAGCACTATAAATTAGGGTGTGGTGATATTTAGGGTGGGATGCTTTCTCAGCCAAGGATTATTGTGTCTCCTAGGAGTACAATGAAGTATTCTGCAAATGCCCTGAAGCATTGCAACGGAGCCCAAGGGGCATTAGAATTAGGCAGGAGAAAAATGTAAGGCATGCCAAACATCTCCTTGGGATGTTCTCCTCTTTGGGAATGCTTACCTTGCTTGCTGGAGAGGCCACCAGGCAGGAAGCACGTAAGTGAGTCATATAGACATGCAGGCGAAGGCACCTCTCCCCCCCAAAAAAATTCAAAAAGCTTTGCAATCAACTAGAAATCTTGTGTATTTGCAGATGCAGGCAGCCTCTGCATGAAGAGGGCCCAAGTGCATTCTTGTCATTCTTTCGTTAGAAGAATCTCAATTTATGGCTTCTCTGCCCCCTCCTCACTCGTGAAGAATTCTAGTCTGTTAATTTCAGTTCTCAGTGGAATCTGCTTGAGAGCCTGGTACTGCAAGATAGCAAACAGAACAAAAAGATAGCGCCCTTTATTTTTCTTTCTTTTTAAATGGCATGGTTGCCCTTTTGGCTTGGACCTCATGACCGTAATATATAAATACATCTAGGAAAAATAAAACGCTGCTAAAATTACAGATCAAAACAGGCAACTGAAAGGCCTCCCACATCTAATTCTCTCCGCCTGCTTAGATAGCAAAAGTCTTACATCATTCTTGGAATATACCTAGATGGGAGTCTGAGCTAGAGACCAGCCTCTTGCTGATGGTATTTAGGGGCATGAAGGCATCGTTGGGAGACTGCAGTTGATACAGTGGTGCATTGTGAGGGCATGATATGATCCTGGTAATGTAGTGCTTTAAGTTAAAGCTCCCACCATGGGTCATCCTCCTCAGCATGCTGACACTCTTTAGGTGGGATTTATGCTGGTGGAGGCATTCAGATATTCAGGTGTTGCTGAATTACAATTCTCATCAGTTCTAGCAAGCATGGCCAATGGCCAGGAATGACGGGAATTGTATCGTGTGTTCCTTTAAATTCTGTTGGAAGCTGCCCAGAGTGGCTGGGGCAACCCAGATGAGCAGGGTACAAGTAATAAATCATTGTTGTTGTTCAGCAACATCTGGGGAGCCAAAGCTTTCCCACCCCTGAAATATGTGATGCCCTACCTGCTGTCAAAATGGCGCAGTCCAGGAAAAATTCAGTGACTCGGTCCCTCCATGGCAAAAGACCTCCCAGCTGTTATTGTTGCAGCCTCCTCTCAATTCATCTCACCCCCATCCAGCCGCCCAACTATAGTCAGATGCTGCCCTGTACAAGATTAGCTCAGTGGCACCATTGTGAGATTGGGTTACACAAATCCACAAGGTTAGACCACACCAGTTAGTTATGACTGATTCCTGCAACTTGCCATTTTGTTTTGCAAGTGCAAGAGAGCCAGGTTTTGTCAAGAGGGCTTATAATGCAGGGGAGACAAGCGAGGGAAGTGGAGCACTAATGTGCTGCTTTGGAAAACAACCTGCCTTGGTCTAAACTGCTTCCCTAGTGTTTTGTGGACAGTTGGTCTAAAAAGAGCAGACAGGAGAGAGGGCGCCCCTAAATAAGAAAGCTGCCAAATTGTCGACAAATTGGCCCACTGGTTTTTGTGCTCCATCTTTAAAATTGATTTGAGGAAAACTAAGATGGATTTGGTTTCCTCCCCCAAAATACTGGGATTGGAGGGTCTGGGTAAAATTGTTTCCTTGGATTACATGCTTGACAACAGAACTCTCTCTCTCTCTCCTCCCTCTTCTCTCCCTGCCATTTCTTTAATTTGGCTAGCTCTATTTTTTGGATGATGGTGGTGCCCAAATTACTGGCTCATCACAAGGTGCTTTAGGGGTGGGGTTCCTACTTCAACTTGGAGCACCTTATCTTTACGTTTGCCAAGCCCAGAACTCCACCAAAGACTTTGGGTTTGGCTTGGGATTCATTTGAAGCTGCTACACACCCCTAGAAAACAGGAAAATATTATTTCAGTTAACACATGTACTTAGCGTCATTACAGTACATGTTACATTGTGAATATGGGCTGTGTGTGTGATCTTTTTGCTTGGCAGTCTTGAAAGTGCTAATCTCAGAACTGGATTGCTGGGGGGCAAATAACACGTATGAGCCCACTCATCAAACGGTGCATTTTCATTTGCTTCCGCAAGGCTGCAAGTTCAGTCAAGAACATGCAAGGCTGCCAAACCAATGCTCCCTCTATCCCAGTTATGGTTGATGCTGCCTGGTAGCTGCTCTCCAAGGTTTTCTGGCCAGTCTTAATTGGAGATGCTGGGGAGTGAACCTGGTACCTTGTATGCAAAACATGCTGCTGAGCTGCGGCCCTTCTCTCAATGTTCCACGAATGGAGGGAAAGGTGTACAGGACTAGCAACCTTAACAATGTGTGGTTAAAACAGTGGTGAAAAAGCAGTCCTCTTAATGCAAAGGCTAGGTTTGGTGAGGAAAATCTTCACTGCAAGCTTTCTATCGGTCTGTCTTTCTTTTCTTTTTAAATATACAGTGGTACCTTGGGTTACATACGCTTCAGGTTACAGACTCCGCTAACCCAGAAATAGTGCTTCAGGTTAAGAACTTTGCTTCAGGATGAGAACAGAAATCGTGCAGTGGCGGTGCGGTGGCAGCAGGAGGCCCCATTAGCTAAAGTGGTGCTTCAGGTTAAGAACAGTTTCAGGTTAAGAACGGACCTCTGGAACAAATTAAGTACTTAACCCGAGGTACCACTGTATTCATTATGTTTTCAAAAACAACATACAAACACTAAAGAAACAAAGACCAATGATGGTGTGCAGAACAATATTGCAGTTAGAATAAAACAAATCACATGTTCGGTATAGTTTTGCAGGCATAATAATAAAATGGATTCCACAAAGTGACATTTTGGAAGTCAGAGCTACATATCAATAAGGTAACCACACCGCACAGAGACACGTGTTGTTGGGGGCCTGTGCAGTGCACAATTTTTATTTATAAAGCATATAAATGGAGACCATACAACATCAAAATGGTCTCCTTTCATAACTCCTCTTGAAGCCCTCTTGTGATGGCTTAGATGCTCAGGCAGGGTAATGTCCCAAACCCTCTCACATCATCCATCCCTGGAGAGAATTCACTGCATCCTTACTTATCTCATTCTGAATAGTTTAGCTGCGGAATTGTGTTTTCTTCTTTTCTGAATATTGTCACATTTGTGTTAATATTATTACCCCCCCCCCAAGAAAGCCTGTTTGGGGTACCAGATGTAGTTTATCCCCATTTTTACTATGTATTTTCCATTCATATGTAACATTCTCTCCATTGTTAGTGGGCTGCTCTGACAACCCCATCAGTCCAAGCATGCCACATTCTTTCCACCTACCGTTGCCTCACTGCTGTACTGTGTTTATCTTATCAACATGCCTCTTATATCTTCCGAGGCCAGTTCTTTTGCTCTGACAATCTTATTATTCTGCCCCTCGAAGATTTAGAGGAGTTTTTCTTTCGCTGTCATGTGCTGCAGTCAGCTGGCACACTGGTGTACATCAACTGAAGCTGCTCGCTCTGCGGGTCACGCTCTGAATTAGCTGCCCTTTACTGTTTCAGTATTGTTGACTTTAGTTAGCTAAGGCTTTCTGAGATCTCTGGCAGAGGTTTCCCCCCAGACCTACTCCCACTTCAGGTCTTGCTTGGATCAGATTTGCTAGGGAATGAAATCAAGACCATTATACTTCATTTATTTGACTTACATTCTGCCCTTCCTCCAAAAGGGAGCCCAGGGTAGCAAGCAACAAGCGATAAAACCAGAAAAAAACATCTTTTAGAACAGGGGTCAGCAAACTTTTTCAGCAGGGAGCCAGTCCACTGTCCCTCAGACCTTGTGGGGGGCTGGACTATATATATTTTTTTTGGAGGGGGAAATGAACGAATTCCTATGCCCCACAAATAACCCAGAGATGCATTTTAAATAAAATGACACATTCTACTCATGTAAAAACATGCTGATTCCCGGACCATCCGCCGGCTGGATTTAGAAGGCGATTGGGCTGGATCTGGCCCCTGGGCCTTAGTTTGCCTACCCATATTTTAGAAAAATAATTCCATGCAGAGCCAGACTGGGGAATATCTCGATTTAAGAGGCTTCTTGGAAGAGGAAGGTCTTCAGCAGGGGCTGTGAAAAGGCAACACAGTCGCCTACTGTTCAAAGGAGGAGGGGGGGAGAATTACATAGGGTAGGTGTGGCCATGCTAAAGGCCAGATTCCTACAGTGATGAATCAGGAATGGGCCTCCTGATAAGATGGTGCCTGCAGGAGCAAACACCCCCCACACACTTGCAGAGTTCAGTGATCAATTGGGTACATAAGGGATGAGTCTATCTTTCATGTGCATTCATGCTTTCAAAGCATTTAGTTCAGTTCTTGCATTTACACCCCACCTGTTTGTCCAAGGAGCTCAAGGTGGCATACACATTTCTCCCCCTCTCCAGTTATTCCTCGCAATAACCCTGCAAAGGAGGTTAGGCTGAGAGGCAGTGACTGGACCAAGGTCACACTCTAACCCAGGGGTGGGCAACCTAAGGCCCAGGGGCCGATTGCGGCCCAATCGCCTTCTCAGTCCAGCCCATGGATGGTCCTGGAATCAGCGTGTTTTTATATGAGCAGAATGTGTCCTTTTATTTAAAATGCATCTCTGGGTTATTTGTGGGGCATAGGAATTAGTTCATTCTCTCCCCCCCCAAAAAAAAGTCCGGCCCACCACATGGTCTGAGGGACGGTGGACTGGCCCATGGCTGTAAAAGGTTGCTGACCCCTGCTCTAACCACTACACCACACTGGCTCCCACTAGGCTATTGCTGCTGCTCTGCTCTGTGTTTGACCCTTGGTGCCTGGGGGGAAATAATCACACCGTGTCAGTAAATGAACTGGGCCACTTGTAAAGTCCTCCAACAGCAGCTCTCTTCCTCTGAGAGCCTGCATTCTGGAGACGGCTGCTTTTATTTATTAGCTGCTTACACTAGTGACACTTGTAATAGCTCTTATCTGCCTGGGGCTACATTCTTGAAAGCAGCTACAGTGATAAAGGGCTTGAAAGAACCTGCACAGTGCATATCATTCTTATTCCTCCTCCTTTTTCTTTCTTTTTAATCTAAAAGAAATAAAGTAATAAACATTCGAAACCCTTCATGTGGGTTTCTCATTAGACCACCTAAATGATCTCCAAAATGTTATCTTCCTCTCGGATAGTTTTGTTCAAAGGATGTGTGTGTGTGTCTGTGTGTGAAGAGTAAAAGCTCTCCCCGTGACTGCTGTGGGGTTCAGTTGCAACTTGTGGGTGGGGCAGATCATGTAGGACTTTCTCATAAAATAGGTACCCCGCCTTCAGGCATCAAAGTTGTAGGAAAGCTCCACACAATCCACTCCACCCATCCTGTTGCATCATTCTCTCACAGTCCCCCTGCCCCATCACATCATGGAAAAGTGGCTTCTACGCTGGTGTGCGTGAAGCGAGTCACAATCCCTTCTGGAAACTTCTCTTTCACCAGCAGAGGCACTCACCCGCCAGCATTTGGCTGTGCAATAGCAGCAGAGTGACTGCTCCTGTTCAATAAATAGGGAGCACGTGGGAAGACTTGGGATTCCATCAGAGGTAGCGTTGTGCCACATCTTTTGGGAGAAGGGATGCAGCTCAGTGGTAGATCACATGCCTTGCATGCTGAAGGTCCCAGGTTCAGTCCTTGGAAGCCACTGACACTAAGTCTAGACAAAGCTGAGCTTAATGGACCAATGTGCTTGCTCAGTATGAAACTACTTCGTATATTTCTATCCTCTATTTTATGGTGAAATAGCTTCAAGAGAAGCCTCAGATATACTATCATATGTGAAAAAACTCATAGGAAATATCCCTGTGGTTTGTACACATTTTTTGAAAAGGGGGTATTGTTGGAAGAGCGAATTATATTTGTCCTCAGTAGTGTTTGAATTGGCTTCCATTAATTTGGTGTGGGCCGTTCTCCTGTGATAGACAGTCTGCTTGGATGAATGACTCCAGACGAAGTTCTAAGGGAGCAGGATGTACGTGTGGGAGTTGAGATTTATTTGGGATACTGGCATGACAGCTGGCCCTTGCGTCTGTAAAATATCTAACATGATTGGGGCAAAATCCTAAGCACACTTAGGTTTGAAATAAGACTCATTGAAACCGAATAAGAGTGCATAGGATGAGAACGTTAGTGACTCACCAAGAACAGTGAATGCCCAATATTCACCATTTTTATCTGGACTTACCTAGTAGTACAAGCCCTACTTTCCCCACTGCTACCTAACTGAAGTCTGTCTTCTGAGTTGTCGGCTAACTTCTTTCCACAGCAGTATCTCTAGTGGTGAAATGGAAATATTTATGGATTTATTTCATAAAATTTATACACTGCTTGATTGTAAAAAAACAAAAACCCTCAAAGCAGTTCCCAAATAATAAAACAGTAAAATCAAGAAAAAATTACAAGCTTTCTTGAAAACATACAAAAGTTTCAATGCTGAAACACTGGAATTTGCCTCCAAGTAAATGCTCTTGGGATTATGGCCTAAATATACTGAGTAAATATTACTATGTTCCTTCTTACTAAACAATGCATTTATTGAAAAGAATTTTAAAAACCTGAGCTTTGGGGATATTCAGGACTTCTGTTTGCAGAAGCTTATGTTGTAGCTGAAATGGGGGCTGGAAGAGAGAGATGATTACAGTAAATTAAAACTAAAGGTAATATTGTGTTTGCATGGGAATAATCAGGATATCGTAAATTTCTGCTTAAGAAATCAAGTGCTATGGCCAAAACCTCTTTTAAAAGCTGTAATTTCAAAAGAACTATGGCAATATTAGATAACATATGTACCTAGATTCCCAATGCCCAAATCTTTCATGTTTTCCTAAGGAAGATGGGATACATTGTGGGTCAAGATGGAACTCTTCTAAGGCAGAGAGGACCTGGGTACCATAAACAGAAACAGCAGATGGTACAGACTTGACAACACACAAGCCTCTCATCTAAAGGATGCTCCATTGAAGCCCCTCTTGCTTCCAAAATATGCAAAGCTAGGGCTCTGATGAAATTCTCAGAGCCTGTCTTAGAATAGCCAGACCACCAGTTTGCAGGTTTCTATGCCTCCTAGACATAACAGCAGTAGTAAGAGCCCTAGTCATTGAAAGGCCGTCTGTTGCATGTGCAAGTTGAGCAATCTTTTTGCTTGGTCTGCTAACTTTCTGGGGGCTATAAATAGGTGGAGCTGTTATACTTGGTTAAGCCAACCCTGCCGTCTCCCTTTTATGCCTGCAGGAGTAAACTGTGTTATAGAGAAACTTAAAGGTTCCTGGGATGAAGCAGTGCGCTGTTGTGGTATTAGGAGTGCTCATTGTAGTGTTTGTTTTGCAAGGACACTTACCCACCCACAAGGCATGCAAATAGTTCAGCTCTGACTCAGACATCAAGGATGGCCTTTTGACTGAGCTCATGTTGTAAGTCTCCTGACTTTTGACAGCTGGGCTGCAAGTGCCTCGCCTAAGGTTCCAAATGGGGACAGGACTGTCACTTAACGATGCTTGGTTATTTCAGACTTTTGCAGCTTTCTTAGCACCCCGGTCCAGTGGCGTAGCGTGGGGGGTGCAGGGGGGGCCGGCCGCACCGGGCGCAACATCTGGGGGTTAGGGTTAGGGGGCGCAAATCCACGGGTTAGGGGGCGCAAATTACTTGCCTTGCCCCGGGTGCTGACAACCCACGCTACGCCACTGCCCCGGTCGAAGCAGCAGCCATGTCTAAATAGCTGCTGTTTTACCCCCTCTGGAGATTGCACAGCTGCTTCTCTAAACCCTCTTGCCAGCATATTGCTGCAAGCACTGCTGCCATGGAGAAATTGCAAGTGTTCAGTTCCTCAAGCCACTGATAAGATCAGTGGTTTGGAAACTGCAATTCTTCTCCCAGCAACTGCAGGTCATTCAGATGAAGTGCTGTGGTTAGCAATCTGGGTCATGGGCATAAAGGTAAAGGTAAAGGGACCCCTGACCATTAGGTCCAGTCGTGACCGACTCTGGGGTTGCGGCGCTCATCTCGCTTTATTGGCCGAGGGAGCCGGCGTACAGCTTCTGGGTCATGTGGCCAGCATGACTAAGCCGCGTCTGGCAAACTAAAGCAGCACACAGAAACGCCGCTTACCTTCCCACCAGGGTGATACCTATTTATCTACTTGCACTTTGACGTGCTTCCGAACTACTAGGTTGGCAGGAGCAGGGACCAAGCAACGGGAGCTCACCCCGTCGTGGGGATTCGAACCGCTGACCTTCTGATCAGCAAGTCCTAGGCTCTGTGGTTTAACCCACAGCGACACCTGCGTCGGTCATGGGCATAGTGCCTAGCAAATGACTGTGGAATGTAACAAAATTGGGGTGGGGAACCTCCGGACTGCAGGCTGAATCTGGTCCTCTAGCTCTCTCTAGCTGGCCCTGCTTTGCATCCCAAAAGGGCAATCGTGTCAATTAGTTCTGTTTGACTCAGCCAGGAACCTCGCCAAATAGGTAAAATATCAAGAGCTGCAGGCAAGCTAGCTCTGGAAATGATAGAAAGGGGGCTATGAACAGCTGCTTCATTATTAGGTTTTGGGAGATTTGTGAGCCAGTTAGTAAGTTGTGGTCTCCTTGTCATACTTTCTGTGTTTACCCTCTGGAAATTGGATAAAAAGCACTGAAGATTTGGTTGGAGATGGCACAAATGGCCAGAAAAATTGCTCAGTTCCTGCTCACCCCAGAAGCAGCACTTATAAAACACCCTTGAATTTCCTCCTTGTATGCTTGAATGAGATTTGCAAGAGACTCTATTGGTGCCTTAATTCTGGAACTGCTTGGTTACCTTCCCAGGAAGAAACATGTGCCCCAACAGCTGAGTCTGAAAGTGCTTGACTTCTATTAACACATAGCAGGGGTAACTATCCTGATGCCCTCTAAATGTTTTTTGGACTCCCATTATCCCTATCCAACATGGCCAATGGTGAGGGATTTGAGGAGCTGTAGTCCAACAGTCTCTGGAGGCACCATGTTGGCTACGATTGATATATATGTTTATGATAGTCAATAGATTTGTACTGTAGCTTTCATACAAAGAGAATCACTGGATCTTTTTTTTTTTACTGCTTTGCTATCTCATATTCAGCAGCCAGAGAAGGGAATTTTCTGCCCTTGCACAGATAAATTTGTATAACCTCTACCTCTGGTCTGTATTGCCCTAATGGTTTTTTGTGTGTGTCTTCATTTTTTTTACAGAATGGCTGCAGGGTGTCCAAGCTCTGATGATCCTTTCCATCATCTTCAGCGTATTGTCTTTGTTCCTGTTCTTCTGCCAGCTCTTCACTCTCACTAAGGGCGGACGGTTCTACCTTACTGGCATTTTCCAGATCCTTGCTGGTAAGTAAAGGGGAGTGGAATTGCATATCCTGGAACATTGCCACGGGAAATTGTCCAAGATGGAGCATTGGTTGATGATGGAAAGCAAGGGAGACTCCAGAATAGCAAAGTTAAGATGCAGAACATGATTTTTTCTAACCTGTCATGTGCTCTGCATGTATGTAGGATTATTCTTAAATTTCTTACACAACATTCTAAAGAAAGAAAGGGCAAGACAACTTAAAAGAATATAGGATATTTAATATTTTTTAAAAATCATTTAGATGACAGCACAGCACATTTAGCAATTAAATTTTAATAATTTAAATTTTTCAATAGTAAGCATAATTATTAAATTATTAATAAGGCCGGTTACTATTGTAAGCAACAAGAATTCTCTGGTTGTATTGAACAACATTATGCATGGTGTGAGGAAGGTGCTGTAACTGTCTGCATGTGGGTGCACCTGCTCCCTGCCAGAGAGAATGCAGACCTTGCTGAGAAAGGGAACATTGTCTGGAAAAAACAATCTCAGAAAATTAGAATATTGTGAAAAGGTGCAGTAGCTATTCAATCCATAACACCTGCAATGGGTTCCCGAGCCTTTAAATGGTCTCTCAGTCTGGTTCAGTAGGAAGCACAATCATGGGGAAGGCTGCTGACCTGACAGTTGTGCAGAAAGCCATCATTGAGACCCTCCATAAAGAGGGAAAAGCCTCAAAAGGTAATTACAGAAAAAGTTGGATGTTCCCAAAGTGCTGTATTGAAGCACATTAATGGAAAGTTATGCGGAAGGGGAAAGTGTGGAAGACAAAGGTGCACAAGCAGCCGGGATGACCACAGCCTGGAGAGGATTGTCAGGAAACGATCATTCAAACATGTTGGGGACTTTCACAAAGAGTGGACTGAGGCTGGAGTTAGTGCATCAAGAGCCACCACACACAGACGGATCCTGGAGATGGGCTTCAAATGTCGTATTCCTCTTGTCAAGCCACTCCTGAACAAGAAACAAGGTCAAAAGTGTCTTACCTGGGCTAAAGAAAAAAAGAACTGGTCTGTTGCTCAGTGGTCCCAAGCCTCTTTTCTGATGAGAGCAACTTTTGCATCTCATTTGGAAACCAAGGACCCAGAGTCTGGAGGAAGAATGGGAAGGCACAAAATGCCAGATGCTTGAAGTCCAGTGTGAAGTTTCCACAGTCTGTGTTGATTTGGGGAGCCATGTCATCAGCTGGTGTTGGTCCACTGTGCTTCATTAAGTCCAGGGTCAATGCAGCTGTCTACCAAGAGATTTTGGAGCACTTCATCCTTCCTTCCACAGACAAGCTTTATGGGGAGGCTGGCTTCATTTTCCAGCAGGACTTGGCACCTGCCCACACTGCCAAAAGTACCAAAACCTGGTTCAATCCCATGGGATTACTGTGCTTGATTGGCCAGCAAACTCACCTGACCTGAACCCCATAGAGAATCTATGGGGCATTGCCAAGAGAAAGATGAGAGACATGAGACTGAGCAATGCAGAAGAGCTGAAGCATCTTGGTCTTCCATAATATCTCAGCAGTGCCATAGGCTGATAGCATCCATGCCACGCCGCACTGAAGCAGTAATTGATGCAAAGGGGCCCCAAACCAAGTACTGAGTACGTATGCATGCTTCTACTTCTCAGAGGTCCAATATTGCTCTATTTGCAATCCTTGTTTTGCTGATTTCATTTAATATTCTAATTTTCTGAGATTGTTAATTTGGGGTTTTCATCAGCTATATATGCCATAATATCACAATTATAACAAATAAATGCTTGACATATCTCACTTTGCATGTCACGAGTCTATCTCACATATTAGTTTCACCTTTTAAGCTGAATTACTGAAATAAATGAACTTTTTCATGATATTCTAATTTTCGAGTTTCACCTGTAAACCGGAGCTTCTCCATCTTGAGCCAAGTTATCAATAAACTTTGTGAAGATCAGACTGGAGCCTACATTTGTTGGGAACCATTCTGCAAAGAAACAGTAAAGATGTTTGTACCTTTAAGAACTGTTTCTGTGAGCTCTGGGCAGATTGGGTACAGCTGGTCATGACTACAAAAGGAGGAAAAGTTGCACTTTGAACTTTGCCTGCAGGGAGAAAACACCCACAAGCTTTGTTGTTTGTTGTTTTTGTAATAAAACCTTTACTTGATTTGTTTTATACCTGTCTCGTGGTGTCGTAGTTTCTGTCATCTGCCACCAGAGGGGGAAAAGCCTCTAACATTAACTACAGAGACAGTACGTTGACATGGATTCTCCATAAATCACTTGGTAGAAATCGGCACAGTCACTCTGACATCCGTCAAAGAAACTCTTAGAACCCTCCAGTTTGCGAGTACAGCAAAAAATATGAAAAATCACCCCCTAATAAATGAAGTTATGAATGAGGGTGCCCTTCTGAAGAGGTATCATTTAGAGATTGAAAACCTGAAGCAACACATAGATGATGTTTCATCACAATCCCAGCCGGCACAGATCCTTGAAGAGAAGAATGCTCTTCAATAGTCCCCAAACAGCTGGAGGGCCAAGTCTGGCCATCACTGTCCTAAGATAATCAGGACTGCCTTATGTACTGCCTTCTGCAATGGCACCATCTCTTGGACTTGTTTTGTGGCACACTTGCCAGCCACTTTCCCAGGGCCGAAGTACCATCAACCGCCATTCACCCACTCAGTCCACAGTTCTGACTGCTGTAGCGCCAGGCTTGAAAGGGAGCTGCTGTGTGCTTCTGAATAGTTCTTGTGTCGGCAGCTTCTTCTCCTGTCCCTCATCTCACTGCACTTCAGTCTAGCATTGGGTGAGCATTCCACACCCTGGCTCCTAAAGAGAGAGAGAGAGAGAGAGAGAGAGAGAGAGAGAGAGTCTGTTTAAGAGCCTCCAGAGTGGGAGCTGTTTTGGCTTGTGCTCAGATTAATTTGCATTCCTCCAAAAAGGTTTGCTTTTTCAAAGTCAGGGTTGCATTTCCTCATAACATTCCTGGGGCTTTATGGACATTAATCCATACCTTGTATATACCGTTGCTGGTAGCTGTGAAGATTTAGGAGCCTCAGCAGCCAGCATAAAGATAGCTCCTGTTCGTGTTTTTCCTGGTTTTCTCCAGCCAATTCAGTGTGAGCAATTGGAACCTCTGTTTCTGTTGGGTGGAGCATTTGGAAGCTGGCCCTGCTCTCCAGTCCATGAGAAAGCATTTTCCAAGCCGTCAATCACTTTCTTTGCAGATGATCTTGCCCCCAAGGCAACCTTCCTTCCTGTGACTCAGCCCTGTGCTGCTTATAAACTGCAGTTTAAATATGCCTGGTTTTAATGTGTAACTTTCCAGCATCTTTGGAAGGAGCAGGGTGCTGATCACAGGGAACTGTCTGGGGTAATATTAGGTGTACTTCTGTTCTTTGTGTGGGTCTTTCAGTGAGAGGGACCCTGAGGTTCATCTAGCCCACCCGCCTGCAATGCAGGAATATGCAGCTGATCAAACTTGCAACCTTGGCATTATAAACACCATGCTCTAACCAAGTGAACTATCCAGGAAATGCAATTAAAACTGAACTCAGTCTCAGAGTACATGATGGTTACACAGTATTGTAACTAGAAAACAAAATCTGAGTTTTGAGCATATGCTTTCATAATAGGTTTATCACGCCAAATTCAGCAACTTTCATGCAGATTTTTTTTTTTTTTTTACTTTTATAATGACCGATTGATGCCATCAGCATTTGAATACAGCATGTTATGAATCTATCAAATCTGAAGGGTTTTTTTTCTTTCTGCAGAGACATGCAGAAGCAGATCAGATTACAAGATACTGACTTTCAAAATAACACTAGTGTTTGGGTTCCCAGTTCTAGACTTTGAATGCAAACGTTCCATAGCACCAGGTTTCAGTCATACAAAACTTATCCTGGTGTTTCCAGTGGCTCAAATATGTTGCTTTGAAGTTTCTTCCAATGCTCAAAGTTGGAAGGCGGGGGAATTATTTGGGATGGCTAAATTTTATGTTAGGCCCAAATCAATTGACTGGTGCCATCTTCCTCTCCTATCCTATAGGATAGTGCTTCCAATTTCTTCTGTGTGTGCCCTCCTTTTGCTAGAGATGCAAATGAGCACTGGAATTTCAACTCTATTCTGGTTCAGAAATGAACCCGGTGGCCTTTGCTCCACCGGTGGGTGTTCTCCCATGGAGATTGCATCAGATACTGTCTCTAGGAATGGACTTTCCATTTTCTTTTGCAAGATGGGAACAGAAGACATTTGTATTAATTCCCTACCCCTTTAAGTGCCTTCTCTCTCCACCCACCCTCCACACTTGTTGGAGGTCCAGTGAAAAAATTTGGTTACTTCAAGCAGAAACAAAATCACCACCATCTCCTCCTCCTCCTCCTCCTTCCCAGCTCTTCCCATGCACAATCCACACTCTCTTGTCTAGTGCCAGTAGGTGATTTGTGGCATGACTGCTCTGCTCTTTTTTTCCACCCCATCCCACCCAAAGTGAGAGACAATTGCTTACGCTCCCAGTCCATGGGCTGGTGGCTGTGGCTGTGGGTGTCCTCTCGATGGCCCAGAGAATGGGAGCTACATCAGCAGCTTCTGAATTCAACACATTCCCACTCCTGCACTTTTGTGCAAACAAAGGGGGCAGTGTGGAGGGAAAGAACAGCTCAAATATCACTGTGGTTAGGTGTAGGTGGTCCTGAGGTCACAGGGCTTTGGAACAGAGACTACTCTGGTGGCACATTGAGCAGGTTGTGGAATTGCTGGGATCAATGAAAAGGCCTTGTTCTGGGCACTGAATAGAAGAGCCATTGTGTAATCCTGGCAGTCGCTGGTGCTGAGCTTTTCAGGAGGAGGGAGGAAATAGTTCTAGAGCTGGTATTGCTGAGGTGGCAATACAAAGATGCTGAACTTAGAGGCATTAGGGCAGGAAGGGGGCCTGGTTTGACCTGCTCACGCTTTGATCACAGGGGCTTAGGGCATTGGAGGCAGCAGAGTGGAAAAAAAGAAGACAAACTTCTGCTTTAATCATTAGCAGCAAGGCAGGATTAATCATTCCCTAGTACATTATAGAGTAGGGCCTCAGCCAGACCAGCGTACCTGTTGAAATGCAATGGAGCAGTCCTTCGTAGGAAGAGAGGGCTGATCCAGTTTCCTTGATTGGGCATTGCAGACTCCTCCCAGCTCAAAAAAGAGGATTGGTGGCCATTTTTTTTTCAGTTAAGAGGAACTTTTAAGGTGGCAGTTACTAGCTCAGTGTAATAGGAAAACTTAAGTACTGTATACCACAGTAAATTCAAGATGTCTTGTTTCTGGAGATAGAAGGATAGGCTGATCCTGCATGAATTTAATTCTCTTCTCAAAGCTGATTAAAAACAAACAAAACTAAGGTCCTTATACTGAAGAATACAAAATTGCAAAAGATAGTGATGCCTTGGAGTTTTCAGAATCTTTGAAAGTGAGGCTCTTCTTGACAGATACCTGTGTGATCCTGCTTTCAAAGTTTCTTTCCCTATTGGGTTTCTCTTCCTCAACAGGGAAATACGTTGAAAGCCAGAAGAGCATGTGTACTCATGCGCACATGCTCAAGCACTCGCCCAGTTGCCCTTGGGGGCAAAACGGCTGCTCACACCTGCTTGCAGCCTGAAATTTCTTGACGTAAGAGGAACCTTGCCGGATTGGGCCAAAGGCCTGCCTAGTCTGGTATCCTATTCTCACAGTAGCATCTTGAGGTGCTCCTAAGCAGGGTATGAGCACAACAGCTCTTTCCCCAGCCACTGGCATTCGGAGGCGTATCTTGTCAAGGTCTGTGGCAAGCAGACATTGAGAGCCTTGTCCTCCATGAATTTGTTTAAAGGCCCCCAAGCTGATGGCTCTTGTTAAATATTGTGGTAGGGAAGTTCCGAAGGAGTTAGGTGGGGAAGGAGAGATGTTCATTATAACAGACACATCAAAGCTTGATCTTCCATGTTGGACCTGGATTGGCTTGCTTACACTCTTTGCTGACTTCTCTTTCGCAGGTCTATGCGTGATGTCCGGGGCCACCATCTTCACAGCGAGACATACAGATTGGCATCCCCCTGTAGACAGCATCTCCTTTGGCTTCTCATACATCCTGGCCTGGGTGGCCTTCCCGCTGGCCGTCATTAGTGGGGTGATCTACGTCATCCTGAGGAAGCGCGAATGATGTGTCGAGGGCGGCCGCTGAGACTACAGCACTCAGGACAAGGGGGCCTTGATGAGTTAGGAAATGGAAACAAACAAATAAAAAGGAAGTTAACCAAAACAATATCAACAAGGAAAAAAACAAAACCAAACTGAAAGAAGGGTTACTGTGTTCATTAAAGATGTATATAGTATCTATGGTTTTAAAAAAACCTATTTATAACACTTTTTACATATATGTACATAGTACTGTTTGCTTTTGTTTGTTTGACCTGCCGCCATGTTTAAAGCCTAAAGAAAGTGCCTAAGGACTCTTTAACTCCTAACAGCATAATCAGAGTGCCGTTCCCCCTCCCCTCTTGCTGTGGAAGCAAATGGATCCCTCCTCCATGGCTCTCCACTTCCAATCCCCAAGCCACATGACAAGTCGAGAGCCATCAACTTGGCCCTCAGATAGGTGTGATATGCCGCCCACTGCACTGATGTTTGCTTATGCCCCTCATATGCTCACATTAACTAAAAGATGGGTTGCAATGGCCACGTAGAGGGCAGGGAGGGGAGGGGAATGTCAATGATGAGAAAGGCATGGCTGGGTGAGCCCAGCTTTGGAACCCCTTAAGATGCTAGTCATGATGTGGTGTCGTATGTGAAGTATAGTCCCACCAATGCAACCAGAAGCTGCATAATATCACCACCTTCCCCATCTTCATATGACAACTGGAGCTCCTGGGAGCACAGAAATGTCGCCAGTCCTTCATAAATCCCTCTTGGAAAAGGAGGTTTCTAGAACTAGTGCTCCTTTCCATATGTTAAATCAGGTCCATTTCTCCATACTTTGAGATGGCCAAGATGAGCACCGATGCTAAGAAGAAGAAACATTGGAGGGAGACACGGGACGAAAAAGAAGTCCGTCATGTTGGTTTGTAACTAGCCACAGGTGTGTCGCCCCCAACCTTGCCCGTTGTGGGACAATAGGCAAAAAGAATAAGCTAAAGTAGGGGAAAGCAAGGAACCCTTCTAAGTCCCAGACCCCCACTCCACCCCTCTCCATAACCCCTTTTACAAAATCGAATACCAAATCTGTGAAATGGTGCTATCTATTTACCATTCCTTATATCGCTAAGCCATTTAACCTTACTCACTGGAAAGTCAGATAACGATTTTGAGATAAACCAAGGAATAGGAATGATAAATAATTCTTGTGTAATATATACAGCCTGTAACTGCTTTTGGACTTAGGAAAGTTGCTATCATTATTATTACTATTATTATTTTTTAATAAAGCATTTATAACCAAGGTATTTCTCTCCCCCACTCCTTTTACTTCATGGTCGGGAGGGAAGTAAGTGAACCTTCTAGCCCCTTGAGGATCCCTCCCTCCTTCCAGCTCCTCTGTAACCCTTTTCTGTGTCGTCCCCCCCCCCCCCAAAGTGTGTCTGGCAATGAACTGTATTGGCAGCCGTGTGTAGATGTGTAAGCGGTGCCTTTTGATGCTAAGACTCCAGACATTATTATATGATTATTTTGCTTTGCTTTTCTGATTTTATACCAACTTGTGTGGACTAAGAAGCAACAAAATAAAAGTCAGAATAACTCACATGCTTTGGCCTTTGGTTGTATATCTTTGGGGAGGACGCAAGTATATGTGGTTAGAACAATAAGACGATGTGTGTATTTATTTAAGACAGGGGTAGCCAATGTGGCACCCTCCAAACGATGGCCTAGAAATCCCAAGGTCAATCATCAGGAATGATGAAAATGGGCATCTAGCAAAATCTGAAGACACCTGTTGGTTACCCCCATTTAGGGCTACCATATCGACTAGCTGCCTGCAATGAATCCTTCCATAGGAAAATCTCTCTCTCTCTCTCTCTCTCTCTAACCCATTTCATTCCCCAACACTGAAGACAAGCAATAAACAAGCCAGGTAGAAGAGACACACAAGGTAGACATTTCAGGGCTGCTTATAGTATGACCTCTTTTCCTTCCCTATGGGATGATTCTCTTGTCCATGGGTAGGCAGACTAAGGCCTGGAGGCCAGATCCAGCCCAGTTGCCTTCTAAATCCAGCCTGCGGATGGTCCGGGAATCAGCGTGTTTTTACATGAGTAGAATGTGCATATCTGGGTTATTTGTGGGGCATAGGAATTCGTTCATTTTTATTTTTATTTTCAAAATATAGCCCAGCCCTCCACAAGGTCTGAGGGACAGTGAACCAGCCCCCTGCTGAAAAAGTTTGCTGACCCCTGCTCTAGCCCTTTGTATTCTGAGTCATAGCCTTCATCAGAGGCCTAAAGACGACTGTAGTCTTTTTGCTTTGTGATGCTGGATCTTAATTGGAAATTGATATGGCCGCTGAAGCAGGCTACCTCTCTGGGTGGTGTTGGGGGCCAAGAGGTCATGACTTAAATCCCACATGGGGTTGGTTGGGCTCCTCCTACACCTTTGTGAACCAGGCTGCCTGGGTGGAGTTTGGTCAATAAAACTGGTGATGCTCCACTCACTGTTTTTGTCCTTAAATTGGGGCATCTGACTAAAGAGGCCAAAATGGAAAGAACATTGCTCCACCAAAATGCCAGCACTTTCCCCACTCAGGCTCTCTTACAATCTGCTGTGGTACAGGTGGCATGGAACACTTTAAGATGGATTTTTTTTGGGGGGGTGCTAGACGAACAGTCGCCATTTGGCCTTTGGCCTTTCTGTTGCCCTCACAGTGGTTGACACTAATGGATTTGATAAGCCTTGCTGAAACCTAGTTCCCTCCAGATATGTTGGACTACAATACCCATCAGCCTTTAACATTGGCATTACTGGTTGGGGCTGATGGGAGCTCAACATATCTGGAGTTAATTGGTTGGGGAAAGCTGGATTTCAACTTTGATGTTCCAAGTGGCTGGTTGGCATTACAATATTATAAGGCAGTCAGAAAAAGTAAGTGTGTACTCAACATCACATGGGCAGAAATAAGGTTAACAGGTTGTATGAGGAACATTTGGCCTTCCAGATATTACTGAACTGTAACTCCTGTCAGCCCCTGGCGAGTTATGAGTCAAATACTGGAGATTCAATATGTCATTGGGTTTTGAAACATCTGATAATGGATTGGGCAAAGAATGATTTTCCCACAATGCACTCAAATTGCTCTTTAAATCTTGGCTGAACTTGGAATTCCTGAAACTATCTTTCTTCCTCATAATCTCTGCCCTACGTGCACAGTCCTGGAAATTATAGAGCCTCATGCATTTGAGGGAAGCTTTTCAAATGTTCCCTTTTCATTCAGAAATGTTTGATCTGTGAACTTCCACAGAGGAAAAGCTTGGCTGATATTCAATACACCTTTTGCAGGCACTAGACTGGATTACAGACATTGCTACACTGAAGAAAATTGTGTTTAGTGTCTCAGAGAAAAAGCATGTTTATGCGTGAGCAAAAAGCAAACAAACCCCTTTATGCTTGGCCGTAGCAGTTTAGCAACTCTTAAGTCTTTATTTATCAATGGGAAAGATGGTGAAACTTTGCCACCTCGTGGTGAAAGGTGGCACTACCAGCAATTGCTCTTCCAGATGTACCGTATTTTTTGCACCATAACACTCACTTTTTTCCTCCTAGAAAGTAAGGGGAAATGTCTGTGCGTGTTATGGAGGGAATGCCTATGGGTGGCGGGGAGATCTGCTGCAGTCGTGAGCAGAGGATCCATGGTTCCCCTTCCTTCCCTCCTCTGTGGCTCGCTTTGAAACAGCAAAGCGGGAGAAGAGCCGCTGAGTGGGGAGGAGAGAGGACAGAGCCTGCTTCTTTAAAGGAGCAAAGTGGGAGAGGAGAGGAGCCGCTTACACGAGTGTAAGCGGCTCCTGTCCAGTTGGTTCCTTTAAAGCAAGCAGGCTCTCTGTCCCTCTCTCCTCCCCACTCAGCTTGCTACATAGCAGCAAAGTTTTTCAGCTCGCTAAGCCGGGGATGAGCGGGGAGGAGGAAGAAAAGCAGAGCCTGCTTGCTTTAAAGGAGCAAAGAGGGAGAGGAGAGGAGCCTTCTCCCCTTATACCCCTCTTCTGCATTATTAGCAGCACCTTCTCCACCCACCCCACACATGCTTCTTCTCCCCTTAAACCCCTGTTCTTCATTATTAGCAGCATCCTTCTCCACCCACCCCACGCGTGCTCCTTGTCCCTTGAGTGCTTTTCCTTCCCTCCCCACTTAAAACGTGGTTACAAAGCATGGATCCACATGGATCCTCAGGATTTTTGCACTGGGTCACTCCAAATTCACCATCAGATCACATAGCATGTCCATGGCTACATCTTGCACCAAAAAAATCACGCACCCACTGTTGCCTGCGGCCGCAGTGGTGCAAAAATGTGGTTACAAAGCATGGATCCACATGGATCCTCAGGATTTTTGCATTGGGCTACTCCAAACTCACTGTCAGATCACATGTTTGTGGCCACAGCATGAACCACAAAAATCATACATCCACTGTTTCGTTTAGAATATTTTTGTTCTTGTTTTCCTCCTCTAAAAACTATGTGCGTGTTATGGTCGGGTGCGTGTTATAGAGCGAAAAATACGGTAATTTGAAATGGGAAGAAAAGTTATGGTTTTTGCTTTTGAGCTTTTAAACGTTACAATAGTTTTGTTTTTAATGCATATTTTGGGGGGAGCTATAAGACCACAGGGAAATGGCCTAAGCTTTCTGGAAATAGGAATCCACTCCTTTACAGACTTTGGTCTTTCAAATTTCAGCAGTGCCCTGCACAACACCAATATCCAGGGCCCCTGCCTCTCGCCTTATGTTCTGCTCAGTTCACTATGTGTCATAGTTGCGATGCCCTGCAGTGCTCCCTAGGCTTGGCACCCAGTGTGGCACAACCAGTTGCACTGCCCTAAATCTGCTTCTGCCAACAGATGCCCATGGGAAGCTCACATGCTATTTAAATAAGAGAAGCAGGGCAAGAGCAGTCCTACGAAGTCCAAGAAAACAGCAGCATGATTAATGAGCAGAGTCAAGGAAGCTATTAGAGGCAAGTAAGC